TTCTAGGCCAATATGGCTAGGAACTATACTCTCATTCCGGCATAATAATCAAGGAACTTTGCTGCCGTACCATGGGTGCAGCAGGTGCAATGATATTACGCAGCGCCTGAAAATAGTCCCCAGTTAGGTAACTTCCAAGAAGCCTATTGTCAGGCGCTGCGTAATATCATTGCGCCTGCTGCACCCATGGTACCCATCCTAGCAATATCGGCCTAGAAAATCACAACTTTTCATTTTCCGTCGGTCTTAGTACACGATGTAACTACAGAAGAGTCAAGTTTTAAATAGGAAAAATATAGAAACTCTTTGGTCATTTTTTAGCGAGATGCTAACGGTCTAATCAGATTCAATAATCTATGCTAAGCTACAGCTAAAAGTGCTACGGCCAGACCCGGAGATCGGCTGAATGGATTCAAAAACGGTAAAACTCAACTGTTTAACTCTAGGGGAGTTGGAAAATTAGCCTATTTTCAAAAATAGTGGAGTGTTCCTTTAAAGGCAGGGTAGGTGATCTGGTTCAAAAATACTTTTTGTTATGCTGGTTGAAATTCTCTTCACATCCTGATAACAATCACTAAGTTAATTGATCTAAATGTATTTATATATGTCATCTGTGGAAGCATAGGGCCATAAAATGTTCGCCCAATCATATTCCTCAGCCCGAGAGCTACGATAGGCTCTCCTACCTGCCTGTCAACACACAGTTAGGTCCATATATATTTGGACACAGGCACAATTTTTTATTATTTTAGCTGTTGACCAAAACATATTCAAGTTACAATTATATAATGAATATGGGCTTGAAGTGCACACTCTGAGCATTAATTTGAGGGTATTCTCACCAAAATGTGAGGAAAGGTTAAAGAATTACAGCTATTTAATATTTACCTCCCCCTTTTTCAAGGGACCATAAGTAATTGGACAATTTACTCAAAAGCCATTTCATGGACAGATGTGGGCTATTCCTTCATTATTTCAACATCAATTAAGCAGGTAAAAGGTCTGGAGTTGATTCTAAGTGTGTCATTTGCATTTGGAAGCTGTTGCTGTGAACCCAGATCTTGTGGTCAAAGGAGCTCTCCATACAAGTGAAAAAGACAATTGTTAGGCTTCAAAATCAAAACAAATCCATCAGAGAAAGAGAGAGCAGGAACATTAGGAGTGGCCAAATCAACAGTTTGGTACATTCTGAGAAAAAAAAAGAACGCACTGGTGAGCTCAGCAACATAAAAAATCCTGGGCATCCATGGAGGACAACAGTAGTGGATGATCGGAGGATCCTCTCCATGAAGAGGGTTCACCACAAGGTGCAAACAAGGCCAGATTAAACGTTGCCAAAAAAAAAACATCTAAAAAAAGCCAATCCATTCTTTGGACGGCTGAATTTAAGATCAACCTGTACCAGAATGACGGAAAGAAAAAAGTATGAAGAAGGCTTGGAACAGCTCATGATCCAAAGCATATCATATAACATAGCATATAACATCATCTGTGAAACAAGGTGGAGCAGTGTGATGCATGAGCATGCATGGCTTCCAGTGGCTCTGGGTTACTGGTGTTTAGTGATGATGTGACAGAGGACAGAAGCAGCCGGATGAATTCTGAAGTGTACAGGGATATACTGTCTGTCCAGATTCAGTCAAATGCAGCAAAGTTGATTAGACGGCGCTTCATAGTACAAATGGATGATGACCCAAAACATACAGCAAAAACAACCCAGGAGTTTTTGAAGGTAAAAAAGATGCATGGCTTCCAGTGGCTCTGGGTTACTGGTGTTTAGTGATGATGTGACAGAGGACAGAAGCAGCCGGATGAATTCTGAAGTGTACAGGGATGTACTCTCTGCCCAGATTCAGTCAAATGGAGCAAAGTTGATTGGACGGCGCTTCATGGTACAAATGGACAATGAGCCAAAACATACAGCAAAAACAACCCAGGAGTTTTTGAAGGTAAAAAAGTGGATTATTCTGCAATGGCCAAGTCAATCTCCTGATCTCAACCCAATTGACTTGCTGAAGACAAAACTAAAGGCAGAAAGACCCGCAAACAAACAACTGAAGACAGCTGCAGTATAGGCCTGGCAAAGCATCATGGAGGAGGAAACCCAGTCTCTGCTGATGTCCATGAGTTCCAGACTTAAGGCAGTCATTGCCTGCAAAGGATTCTCAACAAAATAATAAAAATTAACATTTTATTTATGATTATATTTATTTGTCCAATTACATTAGAGCCCCTGAAAATGGGGGGACTGTGTATAAAAATGATTGTAATTCCTAAGCTTTTTATGTTATATTCTTGTTCAACCCCTTGAATTAAAGCTTAAAGTCTGCACTTCAATTTCATCTTGATTGTTTCATTTTAATTCTATTCTGGTGGCATACAGAGCCATAATTATGACAACTGTGTCAGTGTCCAAATATACAGTATATAGACCTAACTGTATGTATTTGCATTTGTTGCTTTATTATTGTAATAGTCTCAATAGCCTCATCGTGTTGCTGGATACCCTCTGGTCTGCCTGAGCCCAGTCATGTGTTTTGGAGGAGGCGTGGCTTTGTAGAGTGATTTGTAGGAAGGGATCTTATGCTTTCATAGCTAGCTTGCTATTGCTAGCCTCTCCGAAATCGCATACTCTACCTTTATCTTTGTAGTGTCACTCACTGAACAGCTAACATAATAAAATGTTGTGAATCTGTTTCAGATTAAACTGATTTTTTTTTTTGAGCCATTCAAGTGGATATTCTACAAATGTCACGAAATATCAAACAGGAAATGAGCCTGTTGGAAAAACTAAATTTTAGCAAAATTATCTCATAATTAATTAGAGTTAATTCTACTTCAGTCATCCTTCTTTATACCCAACAATACTCACTCATCTCTGATAACACTGGCAATTCCTGTGTACTCATGTCGGCTGTGGGCAAAACCGCCATAGTGGTGGGCATGGCGGGTCACTCGGGGGCGAGAGGACAGGTAACAGGAAGCAACCTCTGTCTCCGGAGCATCCAAAGGATTGTTCTTCAAGCCATGTGGCAGGCTAGATTCATCCCTGCCCACCTGAGAAACAACAGTATGTTTAAGTGTATAACAGTGTAATAACACAGTGTATTTGAGCATCTGTGTGTGTTGTCATGTTGCACCTTGCGGGAGTGTCCTGGACTTCTTCTAGATGATTCTCTGCTGTCTTTATTGTGCAGAGCAGCAGGGGGTCTCTCTAGTGGGCAGTCCTGGAGCGACACCTGCACATTCTCACTGTAACGTTGGAAGTCTTCTGGCTCTATATCTCTATCCTGCCTGCATCACATACACATCACATCACACTTGCATAAATAAGTCTGAAGTCACTATAGAATATAACACTTTGGAATCACACATGACCAAGGTCATTTGTGTACACTGAGTGCTGTTTGTTACTGTTAATGTGTGTCAAGTGCTGTTTTAAAGGAACAGTTCATCCCAAAAATGAAATTTGCCTAAAATGTACTCACCCTCAGGCCATCCAAGATGTTGGCCAAGATTGTTTCTGCATCAGAATCACCTGCTCCCCAGTAGATTCTCTACAGTGAATGGGTGCCATCAGAATGTGTCCAAACAGCTGATAAAAACACCACAATGATCCACACCACTCTAGTTCATCCAAGTCTTGTGAAGCAAAAAGCTGTGTGTTTTTAATAAATAAATTCATCACTAAGATGTTTTTAAATTCAAACCGTTGCTTCAGTCCTCTATCCATAACATTGCTTTCACCAGTGAATTTTGATGAGAGAGGAAAACAAGGGATGGACTTTTTCACTGGAGAAAGCATTATTATGGATTATGAACTTGTATTTTGCTCAATGATGGATTTGTTTCATAAAAACATGCAGCTTTTCGCTTCACAAAACTCGGATGGGCTGGAGTGGTGTGGATTATTGTGATGTTTTTATCAGCTGTTTGGACATATTCTGACGGCACCCATTCACTGCAGAGGATCCATTGGTGAGCTAGTGAAATAATGCTAAATGTTTACAAATCTGTACATATGAAGAAACAAACACATCTACGTGCCCTGTGGGTGAGTACATTTTCAGCAAATTTTCATTTTTGGGTGGACTTAGACAACATTAAATGTGCCATAGAATGGAAAACTGTATTTACCTTGGCATAGTTGAATAATAACAGTTCTGTACATGGAAATGACATACCGTGAGCCTCAAACACCATTGTTTCCTCCTTCTTATGTAAATCTCGTGCATGCAAAAGACCACTGAAAAATAGGCGAATCAGAACATAACACCGACTGTGACGTTACAGTCGGGATCACTAATAGTTACGCCCCCAAAATTTACATATACCCGCCCATGTTCTATGCCAGCCGCTAGCCGAACCTGCACAGCCGAATCATCAGACGTTCTGCAGGTATTATGAAGAAACAAGCGAGGATAATAGCGAAAATGGCAGATCATGGAAATAAATGTTATGTTCCAGGCTGTGGAGGAGATGTGCTGTGCAGGGATTTTTTAGTGTCTGTTTTCAGAAAGGCACGGAAAACAAATAACGCGCGTTCTAATAAAATAACGCGAGCCACTAAAGGGACATGGTTAGCTGCTTGCTAGCGGTAGCCTGTTACATTACAGTACATAAGATTTCACTTACCACATAAACAGAGTAAGGAGAGATGACTGAGGATGATGGCGAATGATTTACGGATCCTGAGCACCCCTGACAAGCAATCTTGTAAAATGTGTGGTAAGTACTGCCACTGTAGTTTACACAGAACACATGCGATCGCAAATCTCGAAAGTGAAAGTAAAAAGCGCAATGCCCCGCATATAGCAGCTCCCTGATGCCGCATTTTATATACAGTATAATTACCCAATGATATAACTGTGAGAGACAGTATTGAAATATATATTTTCCCTGTGTTTCCTTCCTGCTGTGTGAGCTACTGAAATGAGACGCACTGTGAAACAGCCAATCAGAGCAGAGCTCAACATTGAGCCACACTATGAAACAGCCAATCAGAGCATGTAAATGGACATGTAAAACTGTTTCTGGAGATTTTTTGCCCCTACCTAATCCACATACCTTCTACGTAGATATCAGAGAGTATCAATGCATTCTATGGCACCTTTAAGGCTGTACATTTTATGACCATCAATACTTGAACAACCAGCCAGACAGCAGAAAAAAATATCTAAATCCATAATGAAGGTGCAGAGAGCTCTTCTATAAATTTAGTTATGCTGCTCTGTGAAGGTCAAAAAAAAAAAAAAAACAACATCACACAATCACAGTCATTGCTATCAGAATTGGGATTAGATCAATTAGTTGTTTGTCAACTCTGTTCAATATAGTCTTGTATGTAAAGGGCTTTGCTGAGTGTAGGTTGTATTTGTTACCTGCTAATGTATGCATAACTGATGCACCCAGTAAAATTCTGTATGGAACTCGTAGAAGAGCCTCCATAGTAGAACGTCTTTGGAACATTATCCGACTGAGATGAGGAAGACGGCTTCTTCTTATCCTGCTTGTCTTTGTCATCAATGACAAGTTCATACCTAGAGATCATGAATAAAAACTGGTTGATGTAACAAGTGTATACATATAAGGACAATTCAAAAGATTCAGAACTTCATCTAATACAGGTATTCATCAGGGAAGTGTGGAATGCTGATATGAGATCAACAAAATGACCAACAATAGTGACGATGAGATGCATCATAAAAATAAATAATTTTAATTAAAACTACTGTCCAGAAAAATATGATGAGAAATAACACTTGCATGGTATTCAAACTGTACTAACTAAAATATAGAAAGACAAAGACCATTAATATCATTCATATAACAGTATGTTGGAGATTTCCCTGCTGAGGCTGAACATTGACAAAGACATGAACTGAACTGTAAACTGAATGGCTGTTGCCGCTTATGGTTATGTTAAAAACTTTATACTTCATACCACATAATATAACAAAGAAAAAAAACAAAGCAGAATTGTGATAACTTTGTAAATCTTTGCAAAAAAAAGAAAGAAAAGAAAAAAGAAATATACATGTCAAGTGTCATAGCAGGGAAATGGATTTCATTACCGGAACAAGCCATTTCAAAAAGGCCACTGTAAAATAAACATATCGGTAGTCAAAAAAAACATAAAAATGCTTGTGGCCGTGTAATCCCAAAGAGTGCTCTACAAAAACTAGTCTCTACACGACTAGGAGCTAAATAAATACAACACAATTGTAATTTAAAATTCAACACAAATATTGTTTTCAAGTTGGAAAAGACGTCCCGTTCCCAGTACTTCCACAAATGCTGACGCTGTAAAAAGTGTGCAAATGTACAGTATACAGGACAAGATGTCCTGGGATGACACAATATGTCAGTAAGTGTGCAAATCGTTGAAGAAAGTCAGCAACTTACTTCTGATTGGTGACTGAGGCAACTAAGAAATGAGATCGTCCATCATTATAATTCTTCTTATGTGATCTGACTCTGGTTCCTTTGGACTGGAGCACCACAGCACCATTCTCCACTGAGAGAGAAAACTCATCCAGCTAGAACAGAGAAAGACTGGCTTGATCTATAACATCATGGAAAAAAAAATTACCCTCTGTATCAAACATACATTCACCCAAACCCCTTTCATCATATAGTAGCAAGAACAGTTTCTACTCTAGCAGGGACTCGGCAGGTTCATATGGTGGAAAAGCGTTGTACTCTATGTGATGCAACCACTGAAACAGATATGTAACTTCATATGTTTCAAATGACATAAGCAACAAAACCTTGGATCTCCTTCATTTGTTGGTTGGTTTAGGCTTGGCTTCACTTTCTTTTAGGTCAGAGAAAGAACAAGACTTGACTGGGTAAAACATGGTAAAACTAAGAAGATAATAAAAAAGACTGTACCCCATCTCTGTGGTAGAATAGGAGTCCATTGGACTGTAGTGTTCTGAAGTTTAGTCCTCCTTCAAAAGACTGGAATGGTGAGATTTTAGCTGTAGAGCCCAGATAGCCATCACCCGTGAAATACACCTTACGGGACATCTGCAGGTAGAAGACAACAACAGTCCTTTTAAAACGTCATAATACATTTTTATTTTTTTTTATTTTTTTTATTTAGAACATAGCTACATTACATCGACATAATTATATCCATAATGGTAATTGTTGGATAAGTTAAATACAGCACTGACGGAAATGGCATTTGTGTAACTGTGTTCATTAAACTAATTAATTTTTTATCCATGGTTGGAGTAACAAAATTCAAGTATCAAAATGATGTGGTCTCATTCACGGCATCAGGCAAAACAGCACAAATCCAGCAATGTTACTGCAACTGGTGCTGGTAGGTCACATGACAATAACAACATGGCAAAGGTCTGGATTACATTCATATTGCACTCATACATACTATACAGAAAATACCTTTTTTTAGAGGTCGCAAAGTAATACTTCTTCAAAAAATAACCTACAAGTATGCTATTTCAGGGACAGCCTATGACTATAGGAAGGTGTGCTACATACAAACGATTCCTCAGGACAGCCACTGCTGATGCCAATGGTTCCCTGCTCCTCCAGGAGATTGAAGACATTTTTCTGGAACTGGAAGCCCTTTACACAACCCTTCAGTCCCACCAGGGATGACAGCTCTGGCCTGTGAGACATAGGCTATGGCTCATTCATATGGCTAGGTTGAGTGTTAAAAATGAGTACTGCTGATCGGAGGATTAATATGCAACAGTGGTTCTCACCTAGAAAGCAGAATGCTAGAAGGAGCTCCTCCAATATAGATATCAGAGAACGGTAAGGGTTTCTTTTCATTTTCCATGGACTTAACATGGCTTCTGTCCACTAACAGAATGATCTTCTTAGAGTGATGATAGATTACAGACACCTGAGAAAGAAAAATAGCAATAGTGTGGCCATATTATGTTTTAAGATATGACTTGATGAATTGCTCTTGAAGTGGTCTCAAGACAGCAATACCTCATGATATCGAGCATCGTTGATCTGGAGTTTGGCTAAGTTACTCTCCATGATGACAGGACCATTAGTGAAACCAAAGTCGTACATCAGACGGAGAAACCCATTTTTCAGCTCCAGTATGAAAAAATTTGCCTGTGGCATAAATCCAACAATGCAATATATGTGGGGTCAAGTGTTTCAGCCAATGAAGCTGAATTGCCTCAAAAATTTAGTATATATTTTTTGGAAAGCCAAAAAATATTTTTTCACAGTCCATTTTGGTCATATTTACAATGGGTGCCAATATTAGTGAGGTTATGGTATAAACACAGCATTGATAATGTTTTTTGTTTTTTTTAAGTTTTAGATTTCTAAAGATTATTCATGAATAATCTGGAATGTGGAATTATAATAATACTTTTGCATGTTACATCCAATAAAGTTTTTTTTTTTTTTTTAAACCTTCTAAGTGTTTATTTATTTATTTATTTCCACTTTTCTATTTTTGTCCCAGAGCCCAAGAATCAGTGCATAATAATTTAAGAACAACATTTACAATGAAACCATATTTACCTCATTAACCATGAGGAATAGAATGCCATTGTTGGCAACAGTTCGAACTTCGATATCAAACCGAGTGACAATGCCAATTTTGCCTCTTCTCTCAATGTTGTTGACTAAAGCAAAGCCGCTGCCATCAAACAAAAAACTTGTCACACGACTCTGAGAGAAAGCCAACTTATGCCTGGAAAACACAGAGATCACAACGTGTAAACAGACCATATACAGCACAAATTGCCTTACAGTATAAACTTTGATGTCATTCAAGCACAAAAGACACCTTTTGTGAGAAACATCTGAAAAAATCTTAACATTTAGAAGTAAGAAAATGTGAACGCATGAAGCCATACAATCATAACTATATACGGTTTTCAAGATATCAAGCACAGTCATAGAGCTACTGATGCATGGACAGACCTTTTTAGAGTTGAGCAACACATCTCATCATACCTAAAATATTGTTTTACTTGCTTATTGGGCTAATGAGACCTAAAACTTTATTCATGCAATTTTCTGCTTGCAAACCAAGTAGGTATTAAAGTACCCCTATTATGGATTTTTTTAAATTAGCTTTCATGCAGTGTATAACACAGCTCTAAGTGAATGAAAACATCCTGCAAAGTTTTAAATCTGAAAGTGCACCGTGTATAAAGTTATTGTCTCTCAAAAGAAAGAGTCGACTCTGAATCATTGAAATGAGTCGTTTTTAAAACAAATTCCAAGCGATTTCATGTTGACATCAACATGAAACATTAGCATATTGCCCGCCCACTTGTTGTTCTTTTCACGTTGGTTTGAATGAAAATGCAAATTCATTCTTTGCCACTAGGTGCGGCTTTTGGAGCAGTAAAAATAGCGGTTTCCCCAGTAACGCTGTACACAAAGCAGCACTGCGCCTACAAACGCTGCTTTATCAGGCATCACAGGCGAGATGAAAGGAAAATGAGACCAATCGGACCAATCACCGCAGATTAGCGTCACGCAAAGGAGGGGTTTGAAAAAATGAATCATTCAACGCGAATCGTTTGGGAGTCCTTGAGAAAGTAAGGTAAAAATAAATGCATATTATAAGACAATGAAAGTGTTTTTTGACCTTGCATGCATGTCAACCTGTTATTGGGGACTCCCAAAACTGAAATATGAACCTTTCATTACCCATAATAGGGGCACTTTAAGAGACCACAAACATCACTATCTTGCTTTGATGTAACAATATTTAAACATAAAAAGACTAAAATATATCAATAAAACATTAAATGGCAAACCAAAACCCATAAAGGGAATACAGGAATATTGATTGAACTAGATGAACTATTAACACATAAGGCCGTATGAAACTGTTTGGCCCCAGCTTTAGGCAGTGTTCACCTACAGTACATAGTGTTTACGGTTTAAAGAATGGAGGGATATAAGGAAAGGTTTCTTTACCTGGGACAAGGCATCGATTCCAAAACATTCATTTTGTGAAGTTGCTTAAAGTTGTACAAACTGATGACATCACTATTCAAAGTCTCTAATTCAATGCAACCAACAAAAGGAGCCAAAGTCAAAGCTGGAGGAAGCTGGAACAACATGATGGACATTTATTCATATGAATTTGTTACCAAAAAAAAAAAAAAAATTAATTACCCTTTAACTGGGTTAAACTTTGTTTCGATAATCCACTCTCATTAGAGTATTCATAGATTTTTACGTTGGGTTAGGGTTAGAGTTATCGGAAAAAGTTGAAATGTACTTGCTAAGTATAAAGTGCTAGCAGATATTAAGTCTACTAAAACTCTAATGACTTGTAATTGACAGTTGCAAAGTTACTTAAAGTTTAGTAGAATGTCTAAAGTGGACTATCGAAATAAAGTGTTAAGACCCTGATATACTTCAAGCGAAATCTTAAAAAGAACTGGTGTGACTTCATTTTGAAAAAAAAAAATCAGGTCAAAACGAAGTTTGTTTGGAGTTTGTTTTGGGAGTTTGAAACCGCTTGCCAAAGCAAATCTCTAGAAAATTTCATTTTGGCTGGTAAACACCGTCACACTACCACTGTACTCCACCTTCTTTGATGAGAAATTTTTCACTGGTTCATTTCCTCTGATCAGTCTTTTGAAAAACGTTTTTAAGAAAACACTAGAGAGCTACTTTATAGTAGAAATTGAAGTGTTTAATACTATAAAGTCGCTTGTGCAAACTATCGCATAAAGTGTTATATAAGTAAACATAACGTTACTTTACTTGACTGAAGTGCAGAAGTGCAGAGCTCGTGCAACAAATCCACATCATTACGATCAGATGCTTTCTTAACTGCTATTTTCTCACCACTTTGTTATTGAGAGAAGAAGCACAGCACATATTTACATATTCATCTAAACACAACACTGAGCAGTGTGGGAAGCATTGGGATGTTCACTAAGAGTAGACCGCTGCAAAGGCATTTCAAACTTATTTTTACCCCTAAACAAAGAATGAAAAAAAACTTCACTGTGAGTATATCAGAGCCTTTAACCCTATTTGAGACATTGTCCTTAGAATAAAGAGATGTTTGCACCTTTACATCAGGAGGCACTCCTCCCACGATAAAAACATTGTCTTTAGGATCAAGATCAAACAAAGAGTCTGTCCCATCTGCCTCTCCTTTCTGGATAAACTTCTGCTCTGCGGTGGTGTCTTGACTTGGAACCGTCAGGAACAGTTTACCATGCCGACCCAACCTACCAGAAAGAAGGGTAAATCCAGTGATTATAGACTAAGTACTGTATACAAATATCTGCATGCATGGTCTTCCCTTGGCAAAACATCTGACATGCATTTGATGTAAAAGCATCATACACAAATTCACTTTCCTTGGGCTATACATTCACACAAAATTTTAGGATTGAGAACTTTATTAACTAACAAGTATGACTCTTGAATTGTCCTGTTCAGAAAAACAAATTTTTTGTAACAAGTTAGAGTTTTTCTTTTTTTCTATTTTCTTTTTTTTTTCCCAGTACATGCAAACTAGTGACTGAAGAAAAGCTAAAAGATGGAAACCTTCCTAACAAGTCTTATTACAACAGCCGCAAAATTATTTAATAAACGGGTTTAATTATGGACCATGTTCATTGGTGAAATCTTGAATGATGGTCATGTTTTAATTTTAAATGTAGTTTTAATTTTGGTGCAGCACAAAATGGGATGTATCTATAAAAAAAAAAAAAAAAAACAGCAACAGGCTCTATAAACTTCAGATGAAACAGTGCTGAAAATTTGTTCTGTAATTGTATTTATACACTCTAAAAAATGCTGGGTTAATTATAACCCAGCGCTGGGTTAAAAAGGGACAAACCCAGCTATTGGGTTGTTTTAACCCAGCATTTTTTAGAGTGTACTGACCCCCATATTTGGCTGCTGTACTTTGTGAACTGTGTTTCTTAAGAAAAACATTATGCATGATCATATAATGAAAGCAGTTGCTCTACCTCTCCACTTTAACAAGATTGAAGACAGGCGGCCAGGAGCTCACTGGCTTTGAACTGAGAGGAATCTCTACAACCTCTCCTCCCAGATTATACACATACACCAGATTATCGTTCTTTATGGCCAGTCCCATGTAGTCCTTACGTCCCTACACACAGAGAGAAGTGGAATCGACATTAAACAGGACAATGCATAAATAAATAATGAAAAATTATAGCCTTTTTTATAAATTCATCACATTTATGTTGCAGATGTCCTGTGGTTTACACTGCAAAGGGGGAGGGGGTGGAATAGAACGTGAGTTTGGGCCAACAACTGAGTGAAATAAGAAAACACACTAATTAAGGAAAGAGTTCACTAAATGTCATTTGTTCCAGCTGCTAGTGTCATTTATTTGCACATGCTGTCTACATTGCTTTAGCTAGTGGGACTATGCAAATCAGATAACAGTGGAAATTTCAAATTTTGCTGCCAGTTTCAAATGCTAGGTTGTAGAAAACACAGCAGACTACAACAATCTGGAATACTTTAATGGAGTGTACAGAATCACATCACCATTGCAATGCAGACACCTGCAATAACTCATATTTCTTTTATACAGCAGTAAAATAAACAAGTTTATTTTTGCTCTGCCAATGAAAATATGATCAACTGTCTTATGTCTCCAGCAACACACAATAATCATTCGTAAACCAGCGTTTGAATGAGTGATATCCACTTCCCCCTTTCAGGCCCATTTCTCTCTCGCTAGTGCTTACTTGCTTGTCTCCCAAGTAGAGTAGGAAGCGATCTTCTATGGGGTCTTTGTCTGGGTCCACTCTAATGTAGAAACTGATGGACGTGACTGTCTTTAGCTCGTCTAGGTTGGAGTGGGGATGAACTTCTACAGAAGACTGGCCATTAAATTTCATGGACACTTGCACCTGCAATTATAGAGAAAAGTTTCATTTTTACACTTACAGGCATTCACACAGTATGCACTCTTGTTGTAGTATAATATTGAACTGGCAAAAATGCCAAAATTGAGGTTCTTCAAGCTTGAATTGCTCCAACTCAAAAGGAATTTCTTTAGTCATAGGGAACTAACTATAAGACAACAATATTAGTGCAATTGTTTTTTGTCATGTGATCCACATAGTCCTGTAAATATACAGTAGCCCTTACATTTCCATAGTTTCTTGTGTAACCCACTGCTGGTGAGTTTTGTCAAGCCTATTCATGTTCATGTTCATGTTCAAGTCAAGTCCGTCAAGTCTGTTATCATCAAGTTCTGTCAGGACCACTATCGTCAAAGATGATTGACAATTAGCATACAGTTTGGATTGGCGGTATGGTTCTGTTCTGGGCAAGAACTCCCTGCGCCTCCATGCAGCCTAGCATGGATGAGAGCAGGGAGAGCAGCAATAACCCCCCAGGGTAAACAGAACAGAACAGAACTAACAAATGTATTGCAGATATTGTTAAAGTTCAATCATTTTATGTACACATTTTAGAATTAGTCTGATTCAAGGAGAATCAGAAGGCTGAATCCCGACTGACAGAGGAGGAGTTGGGGATGGAGGAGGGTAATTAGCTATTGAGCAATGCGAAAACTGCTGATAATACTGAGGGACCTTATATATGAATGCTTAGATAGGTGTCGTAGTCCCATAGGTAGATAGGGATCAGCTGAAGGTCAGCTGATGCGAGCTTGACTAACGTGACCTGCCAGAACTAACGCTACGCTTGATTTCTCATGCTCAAGTCAAGTTCTCAATAGTGTGCAGTTTACACTTGTGAAAAAGAAGTACACTTTAGCATACTTTAAAAAGTACTTTTTACAAAATAAATATTTCTCTCACTCTTTTCACTTACGTCCCAATGATTATACCGCTTGGTCTCAGGTTTTACAGACTTGCTAAATATGTAGCATGCAACAGTGACGGCTAACACCTTTTACTCTCTAAAACATTTACAAATTTATTCAATACAATGTTTTAAGCCTTTCCAAGACAAGACAAAGACACAACACTATTCACAAGAGATTCTGAATGTGACTGACTAAATGTGTTGTGTTTTTACATGTGGATCAGTCAACATGATGTTCATTTGTAATGCCTGATGTACCTTCTTTGCGACACTGCGGGCCTGTGCGATGAGTTCTCTGATTTTCATGATGTTTGTGGAGACATTATTCACAGGTTTTTTCTCTTCAACCACACGCAGCTTACTGAGTAGCTCTGGCACAATCTCTGACAGGTCTTCAACTAAACATACAAATAAACACATGCAAACTGAGTAAGAAAACATTTGCAACACTCTTCATAATCCTGCACGAATTCAACAAGGAAAAAGGCCAGCATGCACAAAATATCGGTTCCAAATTGCTGCCTTTGTCCATTAAAATTAGATGGATATAGGAAGAAAATCTATGCGCTATATAAATAGCACTCCTCACACAAAATGCTTCAGTATACCATATGAATTAGAATGAATTAGAACATAAGAATGAGAACATTATACTGGAATAAGCATAAATATGCATACATACAAACCCGAATTGTGGGTAAAATGGTCAAAAACATTTTTTTTTTTTGGTATTCCGTTTTGCTATTATGAGAAAATATGTTTTTGAGTTATGGGGCTATGCAACATTCACTCTCTGAACTCTGAATTAAAAGACAACTAATTGTTGCTTCAGACTAGTCATTACTGGGTGTTAAGTATAGTAAAAATGAGTAGTAGTCAAAACACTGTAAATTTGTCTACAGTTCCTACATACAGAACATTCAAAAGCTACTGTTGCTATCTAAATGATATTTAAATGGTACTAGGGCTACCATACTACTAGCAGGGCTACCATACCTGCCTCGCCGGCAGACAGAACAGTGCGCTCAAAAGCTACGGCGGAGTATGCCTCATTTTTCATGTTGCTATCCCACTCCTCCACTCTCTTTAAGATGGGTGTCACCATCTGCAACACTTCAGCAGAGCGGTTCAGAGTGCCCTCAGCCACTTCCTGAGTGAACTGCAGACGTTTCGGAGTTCGATCTGAGACAACAACACACACACAAAGACAAACTTATTCACAAATATGTATTGTAATGCAAACATCTGAAAATGCACATGCAATACTAGCACAGAAACACAACTGGTCTGCTGGCAAGTACGTCATTGGGAACTCTGACACGAGCAGTCTCTGTACTAGGTCTTGACTGGAACTAATCATGAACTTTTTAAACCTGTTTTGTTCAGACTAAAAGGCAAATAACACTCCCCACAGAAAAAAATATTAAAAGAAATATAAATTTTATAGAAATATAATATAAAATATAAATTTTGTTAAAATAGTATTTCCAGTCTTCTAGAATGACGGGAACAGAACAAACTGAGACAGACTAGGTCCAGAAGAACTGTGGAGAACAACGTCTCCAAGACGCTTCAAGAAACCTACCTGCAAAGCTACAGTACTGTTAAAAGTTTTAGGCACTTGTTTAAAAATGCTGTAAAATGAGGATGCTGTCAAAAAATAATGTCATAAATAGACTTTCTTTATCAATTAACTTCTGTTAATTAAATTAAATCAACATTTGGTGTGACCGTCCTTTGTGTTTAAAGCAGCTTTTGCCCTCGGTGCACTTGCGCATAGTTTTTCAGGGAGCTTTGCAGGTAGATTTCTTGAAGCATCTTGGAGACGTTGTTCTCCACAGTTCTTCTGGATTTAGTCTGTCTCGGTTTGTTCTGTTTCTTCATGTCATTCCAGACAGACTGATAAGATCAGATCTCTGTGTGGAGCACTGGCTGTTGTCTGACAAAAATCTCATTGGATTATTACAATTAAATGCGAAATGAATGTTTGGAAACGTAAACTGATATTTCCTACTGACACACTACAGCAAAAGATAGAAATAACTGACTTAAAACATTTTTTGTTGGTGAAAATACTAGAATACTAAGACGTAAATAAAAGAAGAGCAGAAATATGTGTACGTGTAAACATAAAAACAGAATTGCCAAATTCTGAACCAAAGTTGTCAAGACAGGCAGAGATGGTAGTACAACATAAGCAGGCATGGAACCATTTATTCTTGCCTTTATGAATTGCATTGATGTCACTAATGATCTTAGCTATTTTTTTAGAGGAGCTTTCCATCATATCATTGGTCTCTTCAATGTATTTCTTATTGTCAAGGACTGTGGATTCAACATCTGCAAAACAAAATACAACACACAATCTGCATTAAAATAACTTCTGAAATAACTTCTAATCCACAACTACTGTTTATATTTTAAACTTGGCAATGTATGCTATAAATATTATTGGCTCTTATGACGAATTGTTTGTGATGTTCCTTATTTGTAAGATGTTTCGGATAAATGCAAGTACTAAATGAATAAATGTAAATGTTCTATTATCAATTCTATGGAAATGTGGAGCAAGTTTTATCCATGTAGGAAAAGAAGCACTTTCTCTGCTTTACCTTTCTGCTTAAAGTACAAGGATGAGGCCTCTGTGAAGATATCGTTACTCTGAGAGCGCGTGAGGTTCAGTTGAGAGTTTAATACATCAGTAGCCTGAGAGAAATATCAGAATACATTTGAAGTAACCACATTAACCACCTTGCACAGAGATACATTGCCATTCAAAAGTTTGGAATCAATAAGACATTTATGTTGTTGAAAGAAATTGATAATTTTCACCATTTTCTTAGATATACAATAATTCCATTCTCTTCTTTGAAGAACATTAGAGGTTCGTGCAAAATCGTAATATATCAAAGTATGCTTACGTCATGAGTACTGCTGGAGATGTTGAGAGCGGTCAGGGCAGTGATGTTAGCATCATCTATGTTTTTAACAATATTGTCATACACAGTAAAGGCGTTCAGGGCTTTCTGTACATGTCCATTTGCATCACTTCCTTTCAGATTACTAAATAAAAGAAATAAGACCATAGCGATTGTCATCTGAGTGCTGGAATGATGCAACAGCCATTTTGTGATACCCATGGATGAAAGTATATCATACAGATAGAGAAATATCATTAGTCATTTCTGGTTTGAAACTCACTACTGAAGTTCTTCAGCGTGTCTCTGCAGATCATCAGCATGATCCTCGGCTCTCAGAACTAGATCTCTGTCCGACTGAGACAACTTCTCTGTCTTTCTCTCCAGTAACACACGAGCCCCATCGATTTCTGCATGCTGTTCTCTCACATTCTATACATACAGATTGAATAAGACACCAGTAACAATAAATACATTCATTAAGGTTTAAAGGGGTTATTGGCAATGTACGTTTATGTTCTTCAGCTTATATATTTCAATTTTGCTATGCCATTTCATTGTATAAATGTTATTGTGTCTAGAGCTTACAACATAGAAATCTACTTTAAAAACATTTAAAAAACGTAATATTAAAACATAATATTATTTCTGTCATGACAACTCTCGGAGGGATTGGCATGGTAATGTACATGACAATGTTAATGTATTTGGTCTTGGCGGAATAGATCTGCTATGCTGCTGCTGCGGCAGAGCAAGTACGAGACTTGCTAATCACCTCGTAGCAGATCTATACAGGTGGAGCTGGGGAAGGTGGAGGGTTTCTGAAGCAAGCTGCAACTGCTACGGCAAGCACTAGTCATATATTTGAATGTTGAGCAGCGAGCTCATTGGCTACCGATACAGGAGAGAACCAATCAGCTGTGCCATGTGATAATGATGTCATTAGGTCAGATTGAGTTAGACCTATCGGACTGCGCCATCTAGAGTTTCATGCCAGAACTCTGTATTTTGAAAAAGTTTAAGTTTATGATCATTTTTTTCCCACTAATACGTGCTTATCAATAATTGGTGCACTTGAGAAAAAAAAAGAGAGAGAGAGAAAGAGAGTAATATATTTCTATCTTCTAATATCTATCTTCTAAATATCTTTGGTGAACAGTATTTTTGTTATTTAATGGAAAATATAAAAGCTGTTAAAATGTATTATATAAACTCTTATAATAGTTTTAATTTCCATACAGTAGTTTACAGTATATGCTGTGCAGAAAGTTGATTAAAAGAAGATTTACCGTGTTCATATCTTCCATCTCAAGGACAGTCTGGTTTGCCTCAGAGACGATTACCCCAGCAGTAACAGTAGTTTGATTGACACTGTCATAGGTGTCTTTCAGACGCTGCTGCTGTGCCTGAGAAAAGAAAGAAACGTTTCTGTGACATCTACAATATAAACATTAAAACAACATGAAAAAGTGTTTGAATCTGACTGAAGTATTTTAAATAAATATCAGGTGAGATACTAATTATTAATTACTCAAAATGACTTAACTCAAATCAAAAACTACTGGATATGACAACCACAGTTGAAATTGAATTTGAAAAGAAGATACCTCTCTCCTCTGAAGTTTGAGCTGGTTGGTCTTGTATTTGTTGAGTGCCTGTTGCAGTGTGTCTTCAGCTTTGCTGAGGAGATCCTGAGCTTGAAAGAGTCTGGAGGTGAATCGACCCACCACTTCCTGCATAGGTGACAGACGCCCCTGTGTAGTCATCAGAGTTTTCTCCAAATGGCGCACACGTCGGAGCACTACAATCAGACACATAAAGGCAGAAGTTGAATGAGAGCACATACACACAAGCAGAATTCAGTTAATAAACACAAAAACCTCACATTCATGGGCCTCGGAGGACTCATCAGTAGCAAGTGGCTCTTTGGAAGAGAGGTCCAGATTTCTCATCCAGCCCAAGATCCGCTCGGCTTCTGCTATTTTCTGCAGCTTTACCTGAGGATCTAACTCCTGATAGACACCATATAATTCCCAGTCCCTGATCATATCTGAAATACACACACACACACTCATGAATGTATTATGCCAAGACTCAGAACACAGCTAAACACAGAATAAAATATAAGCTTTTTTAATTGCATTGTATTCACAGTACTGTGTTGTATTTCTGGGTGTTCTTTGAATGTACTGAGCTGCCATGAAAATTCAATTTCCCTTCGGGGATTAATAAAGTTGATCTAAATCTAACATTTTTCCACATTCTTGCCTGCTACCTATTACGTCACACAGCTCTGCACAGTCAGGGCCTGGGATTGTGTTGTAGTTGTGATGCCAATCAGCCAATCTGTGTTGTCAAGATATAAGGCTACCGAAGTGATTTGTCACATTCTTTGCACATTCAGCATTGCTTTTTTGTGCATTGTGATGGAAGCATGCAATGACAGATTATTCTCTTTCAATTTGTGCTGAGTATGCATTTACATCAGTCAGTGTGCATGCATAAGAGAAAGTATTTTATGATCAAGTACTTTAGTGCTTGACTGGTGTAAGATATGTAGTGGTTGAACAGAACATTTACGGCACATTATATAGTGCACCACAGTTCAGCTTTGATAATCTAACTTGTACTGCAATCAGGATGACTTCATTTGGGCCAGAATAATGTGGGACAGTTGGCAACTCTCTGAGGGGAATCTGCTTCAAGTACTACTTAAGAAAGCTTTTCCAGGTAGTGCAGACCTCCTTGTCTGTTCCCCAGCACAACAAACACAAAAAATACTGAGTTCACAGGGTCTCATGTTACCTTCAATGAGATCATTGAGTGAGGAGAGGTTAGCAATAAGTGTCGTTGCTAGTGTGGAGCTATCAAGTGTGTCTTGATCCACCCGTTCTCCCAATAACTGCACTGTTTCCTCCTGACAAAATAAAACAAACATCACCTCATTTCACCTGGAAGAATATGAGTAAGCACCTGTTGCAAACAATGCAGCATGAAGGAGAGGGGAAGCTGGATAGATGTACAAGGAGGATGTAATCATATCAGCATTTCCATACCATTGTTTTTATTATTTATAAACTGAGATACTGGGCTGTGTCATGTCATGCCATGTGTACAATTTTTTGTTGTCTTTCATGCTTTATATGGCATTGCCACATTGAACAGCTCAGCTTGTCATTTTGAAAATTACAGTAATTCTGACATGACGTGAACACAGAATGAGACACAAAAAAAAGACAAACAGCAATAAAACGCCTAGTGAAACATTATTTTCATGTGCAATTTGGTCACAATGTAAAGGTAAAGGGTGTCATTAAGCTACTTTCCACCACTGGGCCATACTAATACGTTGGTAAATCATGATGTTCTGTATGGATTGACATGTTTATGGTTTATTTTTCTATTGTGATGCTGCAAAATTAGGATTAGATTGACAAGTGATCAAACCTGGCATCACCTTGTTACTAAAGCACAGTTCTACTGTCCTGATCATTATACTGAAATAAATACTGAAATGTGTTATAATAGACATGTCACTTCACCATTGATAGACAACTTTCTACATGTTGAAATACTTTCTCCTATGCCAACTTCATATGCAGACTCTAAGTAAGCATACAGTAAGTGATTTTCCCAAAAACTGCTGGCTTTGTGATGCTACTGCATCAATCCTGTGGCACTATCAAAGTCAAAATTGCTCTGTTTATTTGAACATCTCTACTAGAGGCCTGTACCACAAAGTTTCGGTTGAGCCAAGCCTAGATTTGTGGTACGATTATTTTTGTATGATTATTTTATGTTTATTTCATGGCCCATGCATAGAGTGGGAAGCGCGCCAGTTCATATTGGTGTTGTCAAAGGAAAGTTGGCTCTAACAATAAAAAGTTATATTTTGCCTGTGTATGCTTGCTTTATTTTAACTCTCCTCATAAGAGTCTGGAGGCGTCCCATCTTTTCCTCAAAGCCCCTGTTATAGTAACGTAGACTGCATGGCTAACCTGTCTTCTAGATTTGTATATCACAAATAGATTTTGTACCAACACTTGTGGTTAATTCCTAACCGCTTAAACCCAGACAGTTAGGAATTGTTTGGACTTGTAACCCTAAGTATGTTCAACTAGTGATACAGGCCTCATCATTGACAAGGTTGGCATGAGTGTGAAGTGATTGGAGTGATTGGTGACGCAAATGGTGCAGAAATGACACCCTTCGCCTTTAAGGAATTTCAAAATAAATGAATAAAGGAAATCAGGAAGTGCTGGAATGAGAGGCACCTCTTCTGCGACCAGTTCCATGTCAGTAAGCAGTTTTTGGGTTTCTTCCTCCAGGCGCCCCGTATCTGCTCTCATCACTGCATACTTATTTCTCCAGCCTAAAAACTGATCCTGTTACAACACAGTGACAGCAACATACACTATTTATTAAATACAACATCCTCTGGACGTCCATTTCTGTAAACTGTGCGTGGTTTGAGTGTGGTTACCTGTAGTCTGTGTGCAGTGTAGTTGTAGTACTTTAATCTGTCGTTGGCAGCAGCTCCGGTAGAAATGTTCAGCACGCTGTTTCTCACTTGGTCCAGAGTTTTGTTGGACTGACGAATATCTCCGATCAGACTCCAGATACACGCATCACAGTCTGGGAAGTGGTGAGGTTTATAAATCATATTGGATTCTCATATTTTTTATATTTTAACCTCTTAACTGTCACCATTCTCTCAGAGGGACGCCTAAATTAACTTCACTATATTACAATTAAATCCTAATCTAATCATGACGAACTATCGTTGGAAAGGTCTAAGACTCCTAAATAGAAATTTGTTATAAATTATGTAGGAACAGTGATAGATTAATTTATGACATGAGTGCACCTCAAAAATCTACATCATGACAGGAGTTCTCACCTTTGTCACAAAAAGTCTTTTTTCGTTGCCTTTTCCCCTATTACGTTTCAGTAATTATCATAAATTATATATCAGCTGAAAGCTTAAAACCTCAAAAAATCCATCCTGTAAAAACCATTTTAAAATGGTACTTCAAAATCATATTACAAAATGTATTCATTCACGAATTATAACAATTTAAGTTTGGATAGTGCACTTTCACGTCTATGTTCAAAAATGGGGGTGACAGTTAAGAGGTTAATATGGCTCTATGATGTTCTGGTAATTCTCTATAATGTTCTATTTATTTATTTATCTATTTATTAATTTTTTTGTATGTGTATAATTATGTGTAAAATATGTATAATTTTGTTTGTTTGTATGTTGTGCAAAAACTTTTCTAACATTAGAAAGTGAACTGTCAGGAACATATTAACAAATGTGCTTAATTTTGCTGTTTTGTCTTGTGTCATTGAACTCACCGATATTACACTCGCTGATTTTCGAGGCCTCAGGTAAACACTCTCCTGAGTGCATGTCACAATTCTCTTCTGGACAATCACATTCTGAGAAATAGAAACACACAGTACACATTTTGTTTATTGTACATTTACACAAAATAGAACACCCGAAGCAACTACACAACCTTGATGACAAACAAAAGGACAGTTAAAAGTGTTATGAAACGAAAGTAGCAACAAGTCTTTCTGAGACATTCTGAGTGTAATGGATTATTGAAAAAGAGCAAAGATGCAGTTAACAGTGGAGGCACATTACAGAGAGAAGTCATTTTCACACAGAGATTCCTTTATGACACTTTGATTAGACATTATGAGGTCAATAAATAAATAAACAATGCATAGATGAATTGTTAGCAATGAGAAAATGTAGAAAATAGATGTGAAGTTTAATTTCATACTGACTTATGAAATTATTCCAAATCAGAGTGATGATGATGTTTCACGGATGTTTTGAATGAAATAACGATACATACACTACTGTGCAAATGTCTCACGCCAGTAGTATTTTTACCAACATCTTTTACTGTAGTGTGTCAGTAGGAAATATCAGGTTACATTTCCAAACATCCTTTTTGCCATTAATTGTAATAATCTAGTAAGATGTTTGTATGCACAAGGAGTCAGAGATCTGATTTCACCATCATCCAGTCTGTCTGGAATGACATGACACTAAAACACCCTAAGCAGCTGGGGTTAAACTATTTGAAACATTTCCTGAGAAGACAATTATTACAACTGGTATCTCTCTATTTCCTGTTTCAACACACCAAACTCAACATTTGCTTGGACCACAAATGTGGCTGGTATAGTATGTTAAGAGGGGGCTGATGATGATGTCATAGGAAATACATCATAAATGCAAATCCCTATTCTTATGTGCAGGTGGCCAAGCGGCTGTGTGGGTGTGTAGATCCCTTAACGAAATTATGAATGATGGGTTGTGGGAACAGCTGTTCAACTGTTCTGCTTGGGACAAGGGCGATGAATAGTGCCCCTTTGCATTCTCCCACCAAATTCACAAGCCAGATGTAAGTGGTATTGCAGTGAACTGGAAAAACAGCCGTGACAGTGTTGTTTAAATTACTTAAAACAATTGCTAAATTAAGTTTTCATTGCTGATCTGCTGCACACTTTCATTATATGTGACCCTGGACCACAAAACCAGTCATAAGTGTCAATTTTTGGAAATTGAGATTTATACATTATCTGAAAGCTGAATAAATAAGCTTTCCATTGTTGTATGGTTTGTTAGGATAGGACAATATGTGCTCGAGATACAACTATTTGAAAATCTGGAATCTGAGGGTGCAAAAAAATCTAAATATTGAGAAAATCACATTTAAAGTTGTCCAAATGAAGTTCTTAGCAATGCATATTATTAATCAAAAATTAAGTTTTCATATATTTATGGTAGGAAATTTACAAAATATCTTCATGGAACATGATCTTTACTTAATATCCTAATGATTTTTGGCAATAAAAAAAATCGATAATTTTGACCCATACTGTGTATTGTTGGCTATTGCTACAAATATCCCTGTGCGACTTATGACTGGTTTTGTGCTCCAGGGTCACATATACTGTAGGTTATTTTGAAGTCTTGAAGAGTTTGGTTTGATGAGTCTTTTGAAACCATAAAATTTAACTTTTAGAATTGTCTTATTTTGTTTTGTTTGAAATCCAGTGTAAAAACAAACTAATAAATATAATTTCAGAATAACTACAAAGTCTTTACATTGCAATTCTTGCCAAATAGAACAGACACTGAAATGGGCTGAACCTGCTCCAGCAGTTAATCATGCCATATGCAGTGAGATCGCTCAAACTCACTCTTGCAGCCGGATGGGCTGTAATCCCAGAATCCTGGCAGGCAGCGCTCGCAGTACCGGCCTCCAGCCCCCGGGCGGCACTGGCAGCTGTGTGTAAGAGGGTGACAGGTGGCACGGAGGGCAGCAGAGGCACATTCACACCGACGGCAACCCATACAGCTGCCAAATCCAGAATAACCCTCCTATATATGCAAAATTAGAAGATTCTCAAAAGATAATGCAGGTTAAATGTGCTCAGTATGCACATGCATGTATTTGAGCATACAGTACATGCATTCTAGGAAACAAATATGGAATTTCTTGGCCTTACATTTCCTTGAGTGTGTCATGAATGTCCATACCTCACATCTGTCACATAGGTGACCTGTGACTCCAGGCTTACAGTGACAAACACCTGTCCTGTCATCACATGATGCAGTACCACACTTATCGCACTGACATTCTGAAAAACAAAGAGAGAGACCTTATAACAACCTAACAAAACTGCGTTTAACTTGAGCCATTAATATGATACATTCGCAACATATTTAGAACAATCTAATGAACACAATAACATTGAATAAACCATTGATGCTAGTTTTTGAAGAGACTATGGTTGATGCTGGAGAGTTTGGAGAAACCGGTTTGAAATGATTATTTTGCAGTTCTGTTTGATACAGAAGCATAATTACACACATTTTTAAAGTCTTACCACTATGGATTAAGTATCACTAGAACCACAATCTCCATAAAACTCCATATTTACATAGGCCAGTCCTGGTTTGACAAGCAAATCAGCTTGCAATGCATCTGGCTGCCAAAAGCCTCACATACTTGCTGCTGCACTGCTTGAACTAAGAGAACAAGACAGATAGCTTGTAAATCATGAGAAATGCTCATACAAACGTGTTTTTAACAACAACCTTATAGAGACCTTTATTTTTATATCATGAAAATGTTAGCAAGATGTTTTGCTTTTACTGTAGTAAAAAATATATATATACTGTGTACTAATGTATTTGAAATAAATTTATTTCATGCTAAGTATCCTACAAATACTTTTACATCTTTATGTACCTAATAAAAATACCCTGCAATTGTACTTTTACCATACTAAACTGGTATACTTAAAGTCTGCTAAAGTGGAAAAACTTTTTTTGTGCTTAATGCACTTTAATTGTGCGGAAATAGTGTTGAAGTCCAACAAAAGTATATTTCATTGTGCTAAAGTGGAACTATTGCAAGTATACTTTAGGTACACTTTGAATATCTTGCATTTAAATACCGATATTATTCAACAAAATAAATAATATGATGTAATATTATAATGTAACTGCTGGGTCCTGTTAACACTAAGCCACAATTGGTCAGAGTCATGGGTATGTTAGCATAAAAGGGTTTTCAAAGTTTACAACTTTAGAAATTGCGATATGTAGACGTCCCTGTTGTCTAGATATTAGCAGATAACTTTTCACGTGGTCAGCAATGTATTGTACTGTTGCTGGCACCTACCCCGACAGTCTTTGGCACTGATGGCATCTCCATAGAAACCCGGTGCACATCTTTCACAGTTGTCACCACTGGTGTTACCCCAACAGTTCAGACACTCGCCCGTCACATTATTGCACTCATTAAAGATAAGGTTTGGGTCAGAGTTGCCATTACAGTCACACTTTTTGCAGGAATTGCCCAACTCCATTGGATTGCCATAGAAACCTGGGGCACATCTTGGTGGTGCGGGAAGAAAAATATAATTAAGTGGTAAAATACAAAAATCCAACTATGTATAATATGCTATTTGTGGGTGGAGAACCAACCTTTCGCAGTAGTGTCCAGCATACCCTTCCTGGCATACACATCTCAGAAAATTACCTCTCTTATCACAGCGAGTTGCAAAGCTGAGAACACACACAAACAAAGAAACATCAGTCATCCTTCAGGATACTATTTCAGGATTTCCACATCATTACCAACCATTTTGCTTGATTTTTCCAATCATCTAATGATTTTCAAAGATCACAAAATCTATTTTGGTAAACTTTAGTAAAGTTTTTTTTAGCCTTTATCCACATTTGAAGCAAGCTGCAGAACATGTTACCTCTTTCTGATGCAGAAAAGCTAGTTCATGCATTGATGACCTCAAGACTGAATTTTTGGGATGTGCAGAGAGTTCCTTGGGGGCAGGGGCTCAAATGTAAAAAAGGGGCATTTACATATGGAGTAATTCCAATTTAACAATTACTATAGTAAAATTATATAAATGCATTATTATGAAAATAATTATACAATTCCTTCACATGTTCTTGAACTTGAATTGCTTACACTTCACATAACAGGCCTGTGGGTGGCACTTGGGCTTCAGTTTAACCAACAACGATAGTAAACGGTATATCAATATGCAGTACGGAAATAGGAATAAATTAAATACTACTTACAATTCATGCAACTTCTATATTCATTAGTTATTCAGTAATGAATAATAAACAAAATGTATTTTTTATGATCCCTGGTGCTTTAAAGGCAAAATATGTAATTTTCGCCCCTAGAGGGTGTGTATTCAAAATAAACAAAGAGGCAAAGGCGTAGTTTGATGACACTGTGACTGAGTGTGGAATCATGGGAGTTGTGGTCTTCATCCCCACAGCCGATGCAATCCGATGGGACTAGGGCAGAAATCATGTTCATGGATGAGCTAATGATTTATTAATGTAGTAGAATGAAGCAGAGTGAGGCTGAAAGCCGTCGAAGCGAAACGTGGCCGCTGAACGAGCGCGACACACGGCTCGAAAGCAGCGGAGCTTTTATTATGCCACAGTCGACCGCTTCCGCTCCTTCCGGTCATGAGTATGTGGGGAAAAGCAGCGCTGTTTTATCATACTAGATGCATTTGAAAGTTCTGTTATAATGCTACTCTGTGCGGTCGTCACCGGTCTATTAAAATGCACAACATATTAAAGCGTCTTTGGTGTTTCTGTATTTTCTACAAAACAAAACCAGAAATTGAAGGCTTATGACATCATTGGCAGGCGACACAATGACACTATGGAAACGGTCCGTGTCACTAGTTAAAATTGCTTATTTCTCTGGATTTAAACATTCTTCTAAACATTTGGGATAAAGTACACAAGTCAACAAAATATATAACACTGTTCTAGTGGTTTTTGGATATTTTAATAAAAAAATATTACATATTGTACCTTTAAGCTCTTTCAGTTTTATCCGAATCAGATGCATACGAATATGTCAATTTTATATTGCATTGGTTTTTGTATGTATTGTATTGGAAACTACTGCACAACACGGAAGGCCATTGAGTATACGACAGGTATCTCCAACCCTGCTTCTGGAAAGCTACTGTCCTGCAGATTTCAGCTCCAATACCAGTCAAACACACCTGAACCTGATAATCAAGTTGTTCAGGGTTACCTGATATTTACAGGAAGGTGTGTTGAAGCAGGGAGATCCCTGTTCTATGATATACCCATTTTGTAACTTGTGCATTGATCAACATCTTGAGAGAATTTCTTTCTACCTCATTCACTTCGCTGAGTTTCAACTTATCCTTGGGTTTTGTTGGCTGGCACAACACAACCCTCAATTTAACTGTACTCTTGGTAAGGATGGGATCAGAACTAAATCACAACCTGTCTACAGAACAACATTTTTCACCACGCTTGAGATTCCAGCATCCCTTTCTGAGCTCATTGAGTCACTAGGGATCAGTCTTTGGTCTTTTACTTCTCCTGAGCCATTAGTATCCTCTCTTGCATTGTTTGCTTGAAAAAACTTGTTTTCAAATATTTTGATTCTTCAGAGTCCCGTATAAGCTCACTATGCTCCGTAACAGTTTCCAAACTGTATTAAGTCGAAGTGGAGAATCATAATTTGTGGGCAGGTTAAAGTAAAAAAATAAAATAAAATTAAAAAAGTCTTCCAAGCTCCACCCTCTCTGAACTTATGACTAAGCAATTAAGACATTTTACCAAGAACTTGTCCTCCCAGGGGAAGACTTTTCTTCATGTCAGGACCAAAAAGAAAGGCCATGGTGGGTTATAAAGGATGCTCCTGCCACTGGTTTCATACGTCCTTCTGCTTTTCCTGCTGGGGCCAGTTTCATATTTGTAATCAAACAAAATTTTTGATTACTGGGTGATCAGTATTAAGAGTCACTACCTGGAGATGGAGCCAAGGGGCCACCATCTTTATTAGATACTTTGCAGTGCCTATAACTTGGTCCACATTAGACAAGAAGAGGAATGGAAGACTGCATTCATAACACCATCATCTTAATGACATCCTTATTTACTCCAAAGACTTTTTTTGAATCTTTTTGTCAAACTTGAAAAGAATACATTGCATTATTCCCACTGTCTCCCTCTTCGAGTTTATCATCTCCAGTGGTCAGGTCCAGATGGATCCGAAGAAGACTGAAGTGCCAGAGAATGGCCTCAACCAACATTAAACATTTCAGTTTTTACAGGAAACTTCAACAACATTGTCGTTCCACTCACTGCCCTCATGAAAGGTAATTACAAACAGCAGACACCTGAGACAACCAAGGCCTTTTAAGGACCTCAAGCTTCGATTGACATCAGTTCCTATACTGACCCTTCCTGATCCTGAGAAGCCTTTTATTGTTGAGGTTGATGAACTTAGACAAGAGCTAAGGCAACGTGCACTGTAAAAAATTGTGCCGTTAAATAACAGTAATTTACTGGCAGCAGGGTTGCCAGTAAGGTACTGTTAATTTACAGCTCTCAACTGTTAGTTTACAACTCTTAATTTTTACAGTGTTTTACCGTAATTCTACCATGGAAATTAACTCCGCTCCCATTGCTTCAAATAGTTCGAATTTAAAAACTAGCATTCATACGATGTTAGTACTGTGAACTTATTTCATTTGAGTCCACTGAGAAAGAATATTTCTTAGTATAAAACTGCAAACACTTAATGTGTAACAGTAAAGTAACTAAAAACATGACTTTTACTCAAATCATTGCAGTTCATTGCTAGCTATAGCACACGTGTGTGAAATGAAGTAACAAAGAGATAATTACTGTAACAGCAACTCCACAATTACTGTCTTTAAATAAAGCAGCAGAACATCAGTGTTTGTGGCTCATCATTGACTGAAGCACAGGCTCTACTCTCCAGCACAATGGTGACCCACAAAACTACATTAACAGATCTCTCTTGTGCAAAAACACATTAATACAGTTCAGTTCAATATTTACTCTCCTTATCAGTTCATGACTTTGCATAACTTTTTTCTATGGATATTCACAAATATTTCAGTCAAATTAACTTTTTTTCATTTGGTAAATCTGACTCTTACGTTTTACAGTATATTGCTGTTTTTTCCTGGACTTAACGGCAACAAACTGTAGAAAAACAGTTATTTAGTGGCAACTGTGCTGCCAGTAAATAACAGTTTTTTTTACAGTTTGTGGCCGTAAATTAATTACAGTTTATTACTGTTAAATTACATTTCATGCTGGTTTTTTTTCCATCTTACATCTTTAACCCTTTAAACCCCACAACAAAATCCTCAGTTTTAAATGAACACTTATAATGTGTCCACACTACAGAGGAAGCAGTGCTGAAGTTAATGACATAATTCTGTGATTAATTAAGTGATGATTGTGCATTAGTGATGAACACCTGCAGTTAACAAGCAGAATCACTGAAGAAAAGAGAAACACAAGAACTACATCTGACTTCAGCCACAGCCTTAGATGAAATCAACTGAAATAAAAGACATTAAATCTCTCAAGATCTGATTAAACAACTCCTAAAACAGCATCACCAGCTTCACATTACTAACCAGACTGATGCTATTTCTGTCAGATGTGTACAGAAGTGCTTATTGAAAATTAACAGAGGTTTAGATGTTGTTGTTTTGGGACACTACCATGATGGAGACCAGTGTTTGCTTTAGTTGGGATCTTGAACCTTGATTTTTTAACATTATCTTTATTTGGCTGCTTTAACCTTTGTGTTTTTCAACACATTTGTTGTGATAAAAAGGGCCAAGGCAGAATATGTAATGCTGTTGATTATAGTTTGCAAATGACATTACCATCTTTAAAAAAACCAGGTTCACTGATTTTGTCCAGAGTCTATTTTCATACCAAAGCGATATCATGGTAACATATTAGCGCAAGAGAACAAGCGGGCCATTATGAAAGATCACACACATCACTCAAAAAAAAAAGAAGCTCTGGCACACTATGAAACACACACATGAAGAATCAGCGTATGAATCTCAACAACGGTGACAAAAAAAATTAATAAACAGATCGACTCTGAACATCACAAAACACGCCTAGATAAAAACACCTACTAAGAATTAAATAATATAATTAAATAAATAATTGGACAATTCAGCTGCATAATTTATTCATGTCGCAATGCATGCTGGGAGTCATGGATGAGTTTTGTCCTGTGCTGGTACCCAGCATGCATTGCAGCATGAAGCTTTTGATTGTCACCATTGTTGAGATTCATGTGCTGATTCTTGATGTCTCTGTGTGTGATACTGTAGTTTTAAAGGCTTTGAACATAAGATGTTTTCAAAATTCATCAAAATTGTCTATCATGTTAACTTGCTGTGTCATATAGCTATTGTAAATAACACGAAGCAAGTGAAAACCCACACTGTATTTTTGAAGATCAGCCACTGAATGAGATCACTGAATCAGGTCACAAAATGATGATTACACAATCATCAATAATTAACCAGAACCATTTAACCATAAATGTCCTACACTTCTCTTGCTATAACAAATGTGCTTTACAAACATAATTACAACAACCAGACAGACTAGCACTAAAAAGTGAAGGGTCAAGAGCCCAACTAAAGCAAACACTGATCGCCACGATGGTGAGGTCAAACGATCATCATTGTCTGAATTCACTCATTAGTGTTATTAATTCTCTCTGTCAGGTGGACTGTATTAGTAAACTCATGTAGGGAATATTGAATGAGGGTGCAGGGTGTTTTTTGAAACACAGCCTCTGAGTGTCGACTCTGAATGCTGTTACTTCACAGTACTGCAGAAGGCTGCTTTCTCGAAAAGAACAAATATTACCCAGAATACTTTTTACGGGATTGTACTGTTGTAATGAAAAAACAGTATGTTACTGTCAGAATATGGCCGTTTTTTTACAGTGTGGGCTCTTATGACACAAAGCCTGTCATCTAGCAGACTTTTGCCGATCATTGAATAGGAAAATCACAGTGCAGGTAACACGGAGAAAGAGAATACATTGTTCATTTACATACTGTATACTGCATTGTGACAATACAAAGCTGGATGAAAATCAGCAAAGTTTTCCTTTAAGTCTGACATAAAATCCTGAATTTGTTTGGTGGAATATTGAAAGCAGGGAGTTCCAAATGTAATCATTTACACATTCTTCTGACTAATAATTGTGGTTTCCAGCCCCTCCCCATGTGTGATGAGTAGGATGGATCCTAAAAAGAACTGATCAGTCACGGATGCAGCTGCCGAAGAACCCTACTACTCCATCCAGACATCAATGTCTGTATCAGACATCCACCACATACTGTACATGCCAGGTCCAAACTGACAGCTTCGAGATTCATGGTCCTATGCCCTTTGCTTGTAACCAGTCGCATGACTTTGTGCATTAGCCACCAATATTGTTATTACTGGAAGACGCCTGTGAGTTGGAAATGGACCCTGACAGTACTCAGCATACGCTAATGGCAAGGAATAAGACAATTATACACTACATACATTTTCCGTCTGATCTGTCATTGTTGTTGTTTTATTAGAATAATTTTCATGAAATACCATCACTCTATGCCAGCATGAGTTATGATGTTCAAAAATTAGTCCAATGCCTAAATTTCATGCCATTGGACAAAAAAAGCAATAATAACAATGAAACTGTTAGAAATTAAATCTAAACCTCAATGGAAAGTCTTGACATTATGTTTTAATAGCTGTTTTTTTCCTTTAGAGTTGCTACTTGTCGTGCCTTTCTATCACTGCATCTATGTAGTTAACTGCTGGAAGGTTTCCACCTACTTGTGGCATAAGGCCTTCCCACTTGGAGGTCTCTGGACTGAAGCCAAACATGTTGTTATGCATGCTTAAAATGTAAACCAGGTGCAGTTGCACAAGTAACAACATTAATAATGAAAATAACGTTATTCCTTTGTTAATGCATGTAATATTTAAAGCTGAATAACAAAAACTAAAGTCATCAGCTTTTTTATTTATTTATTTTTTTGTTCATGTTGCTGTTATGTTTTGTGTCAGCATGCTTTGTTTAGCCAGAGCTCATATCTGGACTCACTTGTTAGATTCCAATGATAGCGGGCAGGCACATGGTCTACACACAAAGGTGCCATCAGAATGAAACCCAGGTAAGTATCTATCTTCACATTGATCACAGAAATCTCCAAAAGTGTGGTCCTGACATTCCTGAAACAAAAAAATGGTGCATTTCAGCAAAACATTCTAAATACACTGGCTGGTTAGACTGGCAAGGTCACAGAAATGTTAAACTCTATCAACACCATATGTCAGGGCTCTTTGACTCCAGTCCTGGAGGGCCGGTGTCCTGCACACTTTAGTTCCAACCCAAATTAAACACATCTGCCTTTAATTTGCCAGTAACACTGTGTTTGTTCCAGGGTGTTTGGTTATGGTTGGTACTAAAGTCTGCAGGACACCTGCCCTCCAGGACTGGAGTTGAAGAGCCCTTCCATGTGTGCATGCAACTACCACACAGAAGAATTTCTGTTTAGCCCCTCTGAAGCTTGTGTTATTGTTAAAGCATTAACATATATTTATTACAAATATTTATCATTTAAAATGTAAAGTTGTCTAACATTTAAATTATGTATTTGTTGCCTTTTGGGGCAAAGCAAAATTATAGCATGCTAGCATTAGCATTATAGCATGTGTTGTGGGAATTTTAATGGTTGTATGTTGCCTTCTCAATACTGGATCAGAATTTAATTTGATATTTGTAATTAAAGGATGTGAGGAACCAGTGAATGGACACGGTCTAAAAATTAAGTTGTGGTAAGGTGTTTCATTTATTGTTTAATTAGATTATTCATCCAAATACCATCTTCTATTTCTCTTTGGTGTACATAAAAATTTCTTCCACGTGGTACTGTTTACATTTTGAGAATAGTTGGGTATTGACGTCATGGAATAATGTTTAAAAAAGACAGATGGTTTAAAGAGTTTTGAAACTTACAATGCATATCCCAGTAATGTCCTCGCAGCTGTCAGCATGGCCTTTACAGTTACAGGGGAGACATGTTTCCTGCTCACTCAGGAAGAAACCTCGTGCACATACCTGCAATAAAGAAACAACCAAACATGAACTATCAAAATAGTCATGATATTTGCCATATCTCTACCATATGGGAGGTTTTTATTTTAGCTATGGCACTTCATATCCCAGATGTTGATTTTTATTAAAACTATTACATTTTAATTTTTTCCTATTTTGTTATATAGCCTAATGGTCATAATAAAAAAACCTTGTAAACTTTTTTTGTTCTACTGTGTGTTCATTTAATTTATTTTACTACTTTTAACATTTATTTTATGTATACATTTTATTGACCGTCATTGACCATTAATTGACATTTAGTCTTAAAATATAAAAATCCATCATAAAAATGATCATACCGTCATATTACATTTTTAAATAATTTCAATATTTATTTTTTTTTGTGGTTATACAAATGTTATACCACAATCACCAATTTTGAAGTTTTCAGACAGAACGGGACGGGACAAGCAGTGGAGGTGTTCAAATCCTTCATTAGAACTACAGTACTTGACTGAAAACCTTGAAAATTCTTTTGTATTCGATAGTAATTACACAACTTGGCCTTTTACACTCTAATGGCTTTATACACTCTACAAAATCCAAATTTTAAAGAACTTTTACAGTATTTTCAAGGAGTCAACATAATCTCTTTGCTCACGTTGGCTAAGGTCAGTCTACATGACTCTATCAAGATCAATTTAGCTTTGTGTCTAAGAATTGTCCAGGAGAATTAGCCATCTGTTTGTAAGCTGAAACTGAAGTGCAGTTAGGTCATGCAGCAAGGAAATTATCCAAAACATGCCAACATTACCCCAAATGCTGAAACATAAGAACATTAAAATTTTAGAATGGCCTAGTCCAAGTCCAAGAACACAAAGTTCATGCTTGAAAACCTACAAATGAGCTGATTAATTTCTGTTGAGTTTTGTTCATAAAGTAACAAATCCTTGGGTTTTAGTTGAAGTCTTGGCTGTTTATTAGCACATATTCTACATCCCTAATCCTACCCAACACCTAAAAAACCACCTTACTAACTAACAAGTAGCAAATTAGGAGTTGAGGCAAAACTCATAGTTAATGGTTTGTTAATTGTGAAAATTGGACCTTAAAATAATATGTGACCAAAACTAGTATAGGGTGGTTGTTGATTGTTGATTTATAAGACATTTATTTATTTATTTACTTACCCACCCAGAAACTGAATAAACATCTAATGAACCTGGACCATGATTTTACATTGGATTAAACAACTCCATCAGCGTTACAATTTTGCCTCCTTATGTCAGAACATGACCACATGACACTCTATGTTAAGGTTATCACCAAGAGTCACTGAGTTACAGACAAAAAGACAGGGCAAGCTCTGCAGTATTGTGAAAGTCCTTTAGGGTTAGCTATACAAGACTGTTGTGTGTCTAATCTGATATGACCTAAAATCTTGCAAATAGTCACCCAGGGGACTCTTGGAGCAAAGGACCGTGGGAAGTTGAAACATCCTGTGTGAGTCATCATTACTGCTTGAAAGGAGTAGCCTGAGAAACCAAACATCCTCTTTGAGAGTGTACTTGTATATATGAGTTTTGATAGTCATGATTCATGATGTTTATGATCCATGTTGTTGCTACGTTGTTTATTTATTGTACTATAAGTTGTTTTAAAGGGATTTCATTTAAAAATGAAAATTAGCCCATAAACTACTCACTCTCAAGTCATCCTAGTATATGTAAATGAGTATATGACTTTCTTCTTTCAGATGAATCCAATCGGCGTTATATTAAAAATTGTCTTTGATCTTTCAAGCTGTTTAATGGCAGTCAGTGTCACGTTGCACACACACGAGGGATGTAATAATCAATTTAATCTAGCTTGTGCTCACTGTTGTACAAGGAAGCAGCTCCGGGAGGATGACGTAGGACGTCGGCGTTGTGCATGCACCGGTGAGAAGTGACGAACGCGTAAGCGCAGCGGAGAGATCAAAACGAAACAACGGTCATGAATTAGAAGTACAAAACGAGGATTTGTAAAGAACAATGTCAGAGGATTTCGATATAAGCCAAGAGGAGACTGGTTTTCCTTTGCTAAAGTAAGGAAACTTTGCTTCCTTTGCTTTTGTTAACAAACGTTGGTTTTCACGAGACTCACCGGCGCATGCGCAACGCCGACATCTTATGTCATCCTCCCGGAGCTGCTTCCGTGTACAACTGCTGGCGCAAGCTAGTTTAAAGTGATTTTTATGTTTTGAATATGGATATTTTTCTTACAAAAACGCATCGATTCGCTACAGGAGGCCTTTGTTCACCCCCCAGAGCCCTGTGAGGCACTTTTTATTATGGATAGATGCGCTTTATTTCACTTTTTTTTGGACTGATGAACTGAAACACCCGCTGACTGCCATTAAACAGCTTGAAAGATCAAAGTCAATTTTTAATATAACTCCGACTGGATTCGTCTGAAAGAAGGAAATTAAATACGCCTAGGATGGCTTGAGGGTGAGTAAATAATGGGCTAATTTTCATTTTTGGGTGAACTATCCCTTTAATTTTACTGACCTGAATTAGTGTTTTTGCAACCTCTTCAGTCATGACTTATTCACAATACAGCATGCCTTGAGTACCTTATTGCTTTTATAAAATGGTTACCACACAATACAAATATTAAAACCAAAAATATATGCATTGATATGTTACTTTTTTGGAAGTAAATTCATTAAATGTCATCCTTCCGCTGAAAAATAGTTCCTGACAACAACAGCAAGAAAATGTTCCTACGTCCATGCCTCATCTTATGAAGCTCAAATAAAAACAGAGAATAGGAACTGCTGTGTCATTTATTTTTTTAAACCACATATGATATTTTCTCACTCACCTACATCTGCTTATCTCTCAGCATGAGAAAACATTTGTTTTCGTCTTTGCAGACATGGCACAGCACAAGTTTGCAAGCATCATTTCAGTGTAAATTGATGGAAAAAGAGTACCATACCTAAAACAGAAAACTAATAAATACGGTAACTGTTTCGTCTGCACTTCAGAAACACTTCCACACACGTGCACACATCAGCGTATCTCCCATATGAGAAGACTTTCTTTGATAGTGGAATGTAGTGATGTGTCGTTCATGAACGATTCGTTCAATTTTAACGAATCTTTAATATGACTAGGAAACATAGAGTTGTCTCAGCGAGGGATTTGTTCATTTTGTGTTGACTGTGCACGCATAACATCCTATTGGTTCTTTACAGGAAACAGAAATGATGAGGCCCAGTTCACCTCTCGAGTCTCTGGGTAGGGACATACCAAACCGACACCAAAGAACTAGTGCTGAGGAAAGCCGGCATTTCTGTCATGATGGTTCTTTTCCTTAACATTGAATGTGATAATAAAGTAATAAACTTTATTATAATAAACTTTATACTTTTTCCGTATTATGGTGAAAATCACAAAATCAAAGTAAAGATAACAACAACATACAGTTAATAATAGGGATGTAACGATTAACCGCGAGCCGGTTGAAAATCGATTCAAATATGTGACGATTCAAATCGCTGCTTTGATTCCGGCGGAAACCAAGGAAACGCTTTAAGCGCCACCTGCTGGCAGAGAGTGAATCTGCGTCTCATTCAGCTCGTCTGCTGTGTGTTTCATGCAGACATTTTTATGTATAGTTTCACGAGGACAATAGAAGCAATCAAAACCAACAAAAGAGCAATAATATAAATGTCCTGTATTAGTATATTATTATAGTGTTATATTTCAATTTCACAAAGAAACATGCAGCATTTTGTCCAAGCAATAATAAAAGGACACATTTATTTATAATTTGTCTTAAACCTCATTTTGTAAAAAAAAAAAAAAAAATCGTGAATCGAATCGAATCGTGAGTTGAGTGAATCGTTACATCCCTAGTTAATAATATGTAATATTTGTGTTTGTTGTATGATATTGAGCCAGAAAGCAAGCATGTGACAAAAGAATAAACAACAAGAACCCAAAGGCTCGAGAGATGAACTAATCAGTTCAGTTTCTGCTGGTACAGTCTGTGTAGCCTTATAGCCTATGGGGCTGTCACAGGATTAACGAATGACTCGAACCCGAAGACCTGAGAGGTGAACTAATCAATTTTGTTTCCAGTACAGACTGCATAGCTTCAGCTTATGGGGACATGATATGACAAAAACGTCAGTAAAATGGTCCAAACTTCCCATTACTAGTGGAAAGGGCTAGTAAATAACAAAGTTAATTTTGCTGAAATAAGGTATGAGAGGCCTTGCTGTTATTGTAAATAAGTCATGGCTGAAGGGCGTTGTTAGGCATGATGCAAGGCGAAAGAAAAATTAAAATTCTGGTGTTAATTATTCACACTTGTGTTATTCCAAACCAATGAGACTTTTGATTATCTTTGAAACACAAATGAAAATGAAACCTGAGTGATTTCTATCCCTATAGATCACTACTTTCATGCTGAGTCATTAGCTTTGTCCAACAGCATGTTGAGTCCCAGGCATTCCAAGTGGCTGAGGAGTAAGGATCTGTGAGATAGTAGCTCGTCCTCCGACTGGGCAAAGATGAGCCAGTCGTCGAGGTAATTCAGAATGCGGATTCCCATCTGTCTCAGCGGGGAAAGAGCCGCATCCATGCACTTCATAAAAGTGCGAGGAGCTAGGGACAGCCCGAAGGGAAGGACCGTGTATTGATATGCCACTCCCTCGAAGGCAAATCAAGAATTGCCTGTGATGGGGGGCTATCTGGATGTGAAAGTAGGCATCTTTCAGATCCAGAGAAAAGAACCAGACCCCTAGGCACACTTGCGAGAGGATCTGTTTCAATGTAGTCATCTTGAATGGCCGTCTCATGAGGGCGCGGATTTAAGTGAGATCGAGGATGGGCCGCAGGTCTGTCTCAGTGAGCGCAGCGCAGCCTCAGCATGGGCGTGGCCTGGGTGAGCGGTGCGCTCAACTCGAAGCTGTCGGCGATATGAAATCATTGGTGACAGCGTTCCACTCCGATCCACCTAGAAGG